GTATACAAGGAGACGGATATTGTGCTCTCTTCTCACTTGTCCCAGGAACCAACAATATCCGACGAAGCACTTGATGGTGGTTGTACAAGCCTGCGGTGGCCGTCCGAAGACTACCATTGGAACGCAACCTACGTAGCCTCGATCATGTCTAGCCGGAGCTATACGTACGAATGTCTAGTGCAAAACAATGTCTCCAAATGTACGTGTATTTCATTCCGTTGAATGATAAACACCGCTAATGCGCACTTAAGATGCCGAGCAGTACGGTTTCAACGGGGTTTCACAAGAAGCATCCATCTTCATGAACCAGCCTCTCGACGCACCAGCTCTCAACATCACGACCTCGTATTTTTACGACCCGAGCTTGTATGGTTCAGCTACAGATTTCGCGAAAGAGGATCAGAAGGAGATACTCTGGATGTGGGCGAACGAGACATACGACTACGACTACCTGTCTCAGAAAGGAATGTGTCAGTCAAGTGGGGTATGACACACTCTTCACAGCACTCGTATGACCCTTCACTAACTTACTGCCAGAGGAATTACCAATGGGGCTTCTCCTCGATCCAGCTCTTCTGCATGGATATCATGCTCCTAGTCTGGACAATCGGCATTGTCACAATGTGGTGGCGCGCTCAAAGTATCATGCTCAAGCGGGGCCGAGACTCTGTTGCAGGCACGCACAAAGCTGTGCTTGAGCTCGCAGCAGCAATGTCGAGAGAGCTCGACGTGGACGTTATCGACCACAAGACTGTCTCCGAAGAGCAGGTGCAAGAGCGCATCGCCGAAGTACATGGAGGACGCATTTCATATGACTCTTCACTTCTCATAGAGACGCAACTGCCCGATACATCGCTTCGGCGATGGCTGGTGGAGAATACGTGGTGGTATCTGGTGACCTTATTGTTCGTGCTCATTTCCAGTTTCATATGGTGGGTGAATATCTGGTTCTGCATCTGGACGATTGGACCGACGGTTGGTCTTTTGTGCGCGCTTTGCATGGCGACGACGCTGAAGAGCCGGGGTATGATGATACTGGCGTGCACAATATTTTCCACTGTACCGGTCGTTATTCTCCAGGTATTGTATGCCGTAGGACAATAACGAGAAGTGTTTGTGGCCGCCTCGGAACAGGTTAATCACGATTCATGCCGCGTGACCGTCATAAAGTTATTGGGTAGCAAAATTACACTCTTTTCCGGATAGAGATTCAGCTAAGTCTTTCCGATGGCGGATAAATGTTGGTGGGGTAAGATGACGGGCGGGCTGCAGGTTGCTTCAGCCACTCAGCTGACCAGTTCAGCTGCCTTGATTTGACGGCGTCTTAGAATGAGGTCACTTACTCTTCCAAGGCTATACTCATCAGAGTATCTCAAGTCTGCTCTTCCCATCTGCAATTTAACTCGACACGATCGCATGATGTGGAAACATATACTGCAGTCCTGTTTTCGCGGCCCTCGAGTCCCCGAGATCGATATATCACCAAACAATGTTACCGTAACCGAGGAAGAACCGAGACTGATAAATCCGAAGCTGTTCCCCGAAGGAATCTGCACCACCTGCCAAGGTTTCACACTCCACAATCTGTTGCAGACGGAGAATGACCCAGAAAGGCTCTTCTGGGTAAGTTACGATCGAAACATGCTCACAGACTGTCCCATGTGCAACATGATCTTTGGAACTCTTAATTCCGAGAATCTTTTGACCGGAAACATTGATATTGGATGGGCACTCGAATACATCAAGCCTGAAACCGACACAGGTTCCGAAATACAAGTTTGTGGGGTTTACCGTCAAAGGCAGCGTGGAATCGGTTCGACCAGAGTGTTTTTGGGACCTACGTGGCTTCGGGTTTATGCGGACCGAGGTACGTAACTCAACACTTTAGTTCCGGCGCGTTGCTGCCAGATCTGATAAAGATAGGTTCATATGCTTCAAAGTTTGTACCAGCTGTACGCGCACCATCTTCTAATCTCTCGGCTGCTACCTTTCAGACAATCTGTCGTCGGATTCAGGAGTGCGACGAAACACACATGAATTGTTGGAGCCATTCCTCGCAGTTCTCGGAGGCAGAGATGCGATATTTACCTACCAGAGTTGTGCATGTTGGCTCAGCAACTCGACAACCACATCTTTACATATCCCAGACACACCAGAGTAACCGATACATCGCTTTAAGCCACTGTTGGGGGAAAACTCCTCAAGTCAGAACGTTGAATGAGAACATCGAGCTTTTCAGAGAGGAGATCATACTCGGCAGTCTTTCGAAAACTTTTCAGGATGCAATTCACGTGGCAAGAAGGCTGGGTATTGAGTACATCTGGATTGATTCATTGTGTATCATACAAGACGACAAAACCGACTGGCTTCAGGAATCGGAACGCATGGGCGACGTATATGCAAACGCCTATGTTACCATCGCTGCAACGTGGGCAAGTGATGGGAACGATGGGCTGGACAGCGTACGCCCTCAGTGTAATTGGTTCAAATTTCCCTTTGATGGCTCCGATGAAGGAGATGGATACATGTGGTTCACCGATGGCTCGTGGAAAACTGAGACAGATCTTGACGATGCACCGCTGAACACGCGTGGTTGGGTTTTTCAAGAGAAGTTACTCTCGCAACGTATCATCCACTACGCCGCTTCACAAGTATACTGGGAATGCAAAGAGTATCTATTGGGAGAAGAACGTGAAAACGGAAATCGTTTTCATGGTAAACCCCTGGAACCGTCGCGATTTTGGACTAGCGTAAACGCTGTTTCCCACATCGGAGCAATACCCATCGAACGTAATAACGACGCCCACGAGGAAGAAGATTCGCAATCTAAACTTAGGGAGTTTTACGGAAGCTGGAGGACCTTTCTTCGCTACTACTGCACCAGGGATCTTACCAAAGAAAGTGATCGTTTGATAGCTCTGTTGGGTATCATCCGAGTTGTGGAGAGGCAGACAGGGCTTCGTTGTGTGGAGGGCCATTGGGATGATGGTTCATGGACGTTCGTGCGTGAATTGATGTGGCTTCCTAAAGAACAAGTAAGGCTATCGGTACTTGATGACGGTAGGCAAGCTAGGCTATGTTCGTCATGGTCGTGGGCATCTCTAAGGGGCCCAAAAGAGCCCGAACTCACGGGCCGTGATTTTGCTACCTGGAAAGAATACGGTCTCAAGGATTGTAACCTCCATCTCGAGGCGATAGAAGATGAAGTTCAAATTCCTTGGCCGTGTCATCCTCTTAGGGTTTCAGGAATGCTAAAAACCTTCCACAAATGCGAACCTGAAGGGATTCGAGTTCAAAATGAAACTCAGGGAAGAAAAAGTTTCGTAATAAAGGCAGAACTATCGGGCATTGCTGATGGATGGGTTTGTTTCGACCGCGACGATGAAGAGCCAGAGGAATTCCACTTTTGTCCTGTCTATGTTTGGAACTGGAGGATCGCATGCCTTGCTTTAGTTCAGAGACATGAACCAGAGGGCAGAGATCGTTGCTTTGAGCGTGTAGGCGCGGGCTATGTCTGTCCTAGTGGTTCCGAACACGATAGCATGGAGTCGTTCGAGAGCTGTGAACGATCAACCTTCCACATAATATAGTCATCTCAGCTGGTAGAAGATCAATGTTGAGCAAGAGCGCAAAAGGCGTGGAGCCTATAATTCAAAGTTCATTCTTCATCGACGGGAACTTAATTTAGTCATCCCAGCTTAAAGCAAACACGCATCGAAAGAGTTATAGTCAATCTTCTTCATAGTCTCCTTCTCTTGTTCCTTTGTCTGCCCGTTTCTGACAGCGGAAAAGTAAGCAAACCCACCCGTCGCACATGTCCAAAACCCTTGACAGTCGATACTTATGCGCGTTCAAGAGATAGGTTGGCCACATGCTACTGGCGCAAATTCCGCCTTTTGCTACAGCCTTGTCGCAAACGTGTATGAGTAGGCGGCACACATTTTCGGATGAGGTATAAGCCAGCGCCATTCCTTCGCTTAACGCAAAGGCAAGGGTGTGCGGTGATGCAGAGTGGTTGGGTACTCGGCTCTGACTTAATGCGTTGGCAAGCCACTGAGGGGGGTACATACTGCATTCGCCGGATCAGGAGATGGTACAACTCTGCATGTCATACCCAAAGATATAAATGTATTCCGAAAACGAGCTTGCACTGAGCACAATTCCTCATCGATCCGACTACGTTGGCACGAACATAAGTACCCATTGCGAACATCAAACATCAAAAAACATTCTCACCCTCCCCACAAAGAAGAAGATCAAGGTGCGCTCCTCTAGCCTTGCAACGCGTGACTAGCTAGCGAAGCTAACCATCGTAGATGGCCTCACTCGCTGTCTCGCTTGTTTTGCCCGTCAATTACTGTTCTTACAAGTATATGGAGGACGAAGATGGAAGAGAGTGGCACCTCAAGACAGATTGCAACAGCAAGACTTGCGATGAAAGCGCGAGCTATGAACCACCTAAAACTCCACCGGAGACATTCCCTGAAGATCCCTAGCCTAGAAACGAGGGGAAATAAAGGGAAGGTTTCTTACATGTATGTCGGTTCGTTGGGTAGTTAGATATAAGTAGTACCTGACTGACGCATTTCACCGGGGCTCGCATATTGATATCCACCTTCTCAAACTCTCACTGAGCGCCTGGTACTACGCATTACGGTCGTATCACCAGTGCAACCGTCATCGTTCACTGATGACCACAAAGGCACTCCAAGTCTCTACAAGCTCTTCCATCCTGACACAACGTCAAGCGAGCAACAGCTCGCAAAGCCACCAACTGCTTGTTACTCAATTTAGCACTGTGTTGATGCTGACAGTTTCCAAATTTCTCCAAATATGAACACTTCCCAAGCAAATAGAACTGGTTGCAGAGCCTGCGACCTTTGATCGCCAAGAAGTCTTTGGACGTGTAGGTTAGCGGTGAGTCCACACGTTCGCCAGATTTGTTCAGAAGTACCGTAGCAGCTGTAGTAGGCTGCTTGGTGACAGCGGGGTTAGGCGTTTTAGACGACGAAGATGAAGAAGGCCCTGTTGGAACCTGAGCAGCGGCCATCGCATAGTCTGTCGATGGTGTTCGCGGCGGAGTCGGGAGAGACACCGTTGCGCGCCTAGGGGTGACCACCAGCATTTGGCTGCGAAACACATTGTCGAATGAGACAGTGTGGTATCTGTCCTTGATCGCAGCTAGCTCGCGGGCGAACGGAGGGCCTTCCAAGAGAGTAATTCGGCTCCTGACCGCGTCGTCTTCGGTATATGGGCCCAACAAGCGGGCATAGCCATTATCGGCTGAGCCGCCGAACAAGATTTGGTGGCAGTGCATGTCCGCTAGATCGTGCCGGAACATTGCTGCGTGTTGTAAGCATTTGGCGTTTTGTTTGGATGACACATGGCTTACCCTTGATCTTCTCATCCGAGCACTCTTTGCCGTTGCCAGCATCAACATAATCACACATGGGGTCGCCCATGTTGAATCCACGTACAAACTCGTCAAACGACGCTAACTGCGGGAGAACCTCCGCGTCTTTATACGTCTTGGCCAACCCCTTCATATTCGCGTAAACACGAATGACCACTTGCATATGGTGGGCTACCGCAGGCAAGGATGATCGAAGTTCTTCCTCAACAGCTTGCTTGAGTAAGCTCGCTGCTCTCTTTCCACCGTCTAGCCCGGCTTTCACAAGATCATCGTTGAACTAAAGTAGTCATTAGGGAGGGTCGATGAATGTCAAGAGGGGACTTACCAGCATACAGTCACCATCGATCAAAACGGATGCGAAGGCATGACGAGACTTCTCAGCTTCCAAAACTTGGATCTGCTTCTTGAACTCTTCGATACGGTCGCGTGTCAACTTGATCACGTCTTTTCGATCACGAAGTTCGTACTCGGCTTCTGACAAACGAGTCGAGAGATCGTCCACATATGCAAACAGGTCCTGCATGAGAAGTAAGTGACTGGAGAAATGTTGAGGGATGGTTTGCCTACCTTGATCAAAACATGCTTCTGATCGTCGTTCGCCTGGCAAGTGTCCCACACATCTTGCAAGTACTTCAACTGCGCTTGCGGATCCGCCATTGTATCTCCTCGAAACGTTGCAAACGCGAGATAGTCTCAACGATGAGACTCTTGCAGCAGGAAACCTGGATGGGCGTAGGAATTAATAAGGCTGGCAATGACTGGGCTCACAGGTAAGTGCCTAGAGGCGCAGCACGATGCACGTTACACAGCATTCGCCTCGTCGAATACTCTTCGAACGCATAACAATGCAGGCGCCGACGAACCGCTCATCCAATCGTTCGCATATGCAGCACATGTGCATCCATCCTCATGTGCTGTAGGCCCTGGTCACATAGCCCCAGCGGCACGGTCCGGTGTATTGAATGTTGCCTCAGGCATCTTTTTCTGAGAAGAGCGTTGAATTTGAGGATTTGACGTGACTGTAGGCGGTCGATGTCATTGCGTAGTATGGCTTGGCCGGACAGAAGAACTCGTGTATAGCAGATACGCCGCCACCAGCGCTTGCAACCAAACTGGGTTGAGTACGACCTGTCGAAGATCCATCCTTCTTCTGACGTGCAATTAGACCTTGTTCAAATAAAAAACTAACGACCCTAGAGTCTGCGTTAAAGTTAGGGAGCATATCTTTTATTTCTCCACTTTGATGCAGGTTGCAAACCCTAGTGTCGAGTTCAGTAGTGGTTCAGGTTGCGATAGATGCGATATCGCGTCGCAACAATGCGGTAATGAGTGGCATGGAAATTCTCCACAGCCCAAACTGAGGCATAGTAATTCGGCACTCATGATCTCGCGATTGAGTCATGATAAGATTCTGAAGTTGTATGACAGCGCGACATGCGCGTAAGGCTGGAGGACGGTTCCCCGCTCATCACCGCGGGACAGCTAACCAGGCAAATGATGTACCTTTGAAGGACCGATAGTATGAAAAGACGTATCAAAAGAGATCGGTCATGTGAAAGACAAAATAGATGGAAGAGCACATGCGGTTCTTGGGATAGCTATAGTGGATGATGGTGCAGGTTATTGGGTAGTGCAAACGCTGATCGGCACCGGTCTAGCCTCGGCGATAGCGTGAGCGGCTGGATGATGATGGGATCACAGCAGCGGAGGAATGAGGCACAGGTCACAGCCGCTCAACACTTTCCCCTCAATCTCGGCCTCGTAGGGCGCGTAGGATTATAAGACTTCTCTGCCCCCATCTGCCATTGTTGGGCATCGATAGCACGCTGAATTATCCGCCCCGCTTCGCCAATCGCGCGCAACACGGTACCACTACCATCACGCCCAACGTCCCGTACCGTCCGTCGTATCGCTTCGCCGCCCCACAAACAGGCTAGCAGGCTATTTATCAGCAAGCGCCCGTCCGAAGTTGGACGAGATGGCCTCGCGGACTTCGACGCCTTCGCGGTCACGTTCCTCCTCCAACAGCAGCAGCTCTTCCGACACCACCATGATAGACGCGCCGCCGCAATCAGCCAGCCGCCCAGCGCGCCTCCGCAACCCTTCGCATTCGCGTAGCGCCGCACTACCCACGCCTACAGCCTCCCAGATGCCGACCCTCGAAGTTCTTCCCGATCCGTGCTTCTCACTGCTCTTGTCTCTGCCGAGAGAACTCCGCGATCGCGTCTACACGTATGCCCTGGTTTCCAACACGCCGTTCCTGTGGCCCGGTGCCGTGTCCCAATCGGCGTACAGCAAACATCGCCATGTCAGCGTGAACCTCCTCCGGACCAACAGGCAGGTTCACGACGAAGCCGTGATTGTTTTGTACGCACAGAACAAGTTTCTATTCACACATCCCAGCGACTGCAACATCTTCCGCGTCGTCACGTCTCCCGCCTCGGCAAACATAACGAGCGTGTACATCCGCGTAAAGGACAAGGACCTGCCATTATGGACGGCATATATGGGAAGCAAGAAGGCAGAGAGGAGCCTAAGAGCTGATTTGCCTAAGTTGAAGAGTCTCTGGGTATTCCTCAAATTGGGGATGTGTCCACACTTCATGTCAGGCGTACTGGCTGGGATACAACGCCCAATTCTCGGACCCCAACCAGCGGGACACCTACCGGCGGTTCAGAATGCTGTGGGACATCAGATACACACCCTACAGCAACATGTCCAGAATGCCATAAACCAGGTCATGACTACCGCCGGCGTGCAAATCGTCGGCGGCACAGGCGGCCATGCGCATACTCCTGCCAACGCGAACCAGGTCCCGCCTCCGCCCCCGCCAGCTCCCGCTATGCCGTTCCCGCAATTCATGCAAGGAGCGTTAGGCATGGGCGGTCATGGACAGCAGCACCAACAAGCGATGCCAGCACCGCACGCCCACGGCCAGCACAACCACCCGCCGAACCCCAGTCCGCTAGCACAACATCTCCAAGCCCAACAGGACAATCCCACCGTCCAGGTCATACACCCACCTGCTCAGCAAACACCACCACCCACAACCCCCACAAACAGCACAGACCCCAACAAGCTCTACTCCGGTATGATCCGCTCCAACCGCTTCAAAGTCGTCACATCACTCTGCCTCCAGCTCCACGACGTCCTCCACACCAAACCCCCTCCGTCTGCGCTATCCCCCGTATCCTCCACTTCCATCACCCCTACTGAATCGTTCGGCACACGACTACGCCAAATCTCACAACATCGACAAGTCTTCCCCGAACGAGGCCCTGATCCAAATACTAGTGTTAATACCACGTCCGTCCAACCGTCCCGCTCCTCCAGCAACCCCAAGTCTTCCCTCCAAACCACGAAAATCGAGACCCTTCCACCGCCGCCCAACACGGAGATCAAGATTGTGACTATAGTACGACCGGGCAAGAGATTTGTGAAGAGGCTACTTGAGACTTTTCCTGATGAGCTGGAGGTTGATCCCGTGACGAAGGATGCGCGGACGAGGTTTAGGAAGATGCATGGGGTGGATGTTAGTTGGGAGTTTAATGGGTTGAGCGATGTTGAGGCGAGCAGTGCGGGAGGGGTTGTGGTTCCTTGGGATGGGGGGTGGTGAGAGGATGGGGTTGAAGGGGGGAAGGTCAAGACAAGATTGGTGTGGTGGTTTGGTCCTTGAGGGGATTATTGAGGCGCTGTATTCCGGCCGAGTGTTGCAAGGTTTTTCATCTTGGTAACAGGACCTAGCCTCGTCCATTAGACTTTCATCTAGCAAAGCCCTAGCAGCGCAATACCCAAACCCTAGACATAAACATAACAAAACGGCCCGCCCACCGTACTCATCGCCTCCCTAATCGTCACATTCTCAACCCCAAGCCACTCCCCCAACGTAATAACATCCTCCAACGTCCCTGCCTCCCCTAGATCCCCCACCCCACTCGTCCCCCCCGCAATCGCCTCTTTCCTCGCCTCCAAATCCAAATTCTGCCACGTCCAATACACCCTATCCACCATCGCATGATGCGCGAAAAACGCCGGGTCCGCAGGCGAATTAATGAAATCGGAACCTGCGTCGCCGCCGATGGTGTTGTGGCCGCCAACGTGAGGACCCATTTTGCCCTGGGCGAATTCGCCGCCGAGCACGGTTTGGAAGGATGTGATGGTGGTGTTGTCTTTGATGAGGGATGCGACGACGGAGTCGCTGGTTTCGGCGGAGGACTGCAGGGAGATGTCGCGGGAGAGGCAGCGCGGGTTGTAGCCTAGGCCGTCGGGTTGGGGGTTTGGGGTCGGAGGGGGGAGGGAGACGGCGGCGAGGGGGCCGAGGTTGATGGTCCAGCTGAGGGGGGTGTTAGCGATGGCTGTTGTTGGAGTGGGGAGAGATGGGAGGTGGTAATTACTCTTTGAACGGACCGGAGGTTACGCAGCCGCCTCCACTTCCGGGTTGAAGTTGGATGTAGCACTGTTCGGTTGAGGGGAAGCAGACTGAAGATCTGTTGGCGATGTATGCGCCGTCTCCTGACATGCTGGTGTCGCTGCCGTCGAAAAAGGGGGAGGCTTTTGGGTTGTCTGCCCAGTGGCCCCTGATGGTTGACATGAGAGATTAGTCTGTATTCGGCGTGCCATTCATACTTGGAGGTTACGCACCAATTGTAGTAAGGCTGATACCCTTTATACCCGCATTCATTTCGCAGCATCTGTTCAAAAGCCCAAGTATAGTATCGGTGCCAGGTCAAGAAGTTGGCCGTGCCATGAATTGTGAACGCTTGCTGAATGTGGGTGATGACGAGATCATCGTATCTACTCCTTGCTCCTGATGCGATAGCCGCGGGTGTCTTTGCTGGCAGTTTTGCCAGGCACTTTACGGCTTTGATATAGCTACGCCTTTCGTGTTTACTCAAGGCTGACCTGCGGTGTGTGAGTTTGAGCAGAATGGGATGGTGTACATCTCGCTCACCAGTCTCGACGAACGGCTACGTTATCGAGTGTGCATGTTCCTGGGCTCGGTAATGGGTTCTCGGAGTAATAGGCCTGCATATGATGTAGACTTTTGGCAGCCAATGCATCTACTTCATTAGGCTTCCCTACGCTCTTTGCGCCGGTGGTACTGGCCAAAGCCATTGATAAGACATTGGAGAGCTTCATGATGCTAGGGTACGAATGTATCTGGTGGTGAATTGGACATGACGGGAAAGAACTTTTATGTTGGATCGGGGATGTTCGAGACGCATTGCATTGACACGCGAGATCGTCCCAACCAAGAGCATACCCTAGTATCACTACTTACCCGGGCTGTTATTGCCGTCTTGTAGCACTTCTTAGGCGAGTGGCGAGCATCCTGAATAGCGTGGCGTCAGCCGCGGTGGGGCGTTCAGAGTAATCATCTGCAGTGCTGCAATCTAGTCGCCATCCTTTCAAGATGTGTAGGAGAATTGACATGAATTCTCCTTATCGAGCGCACTCGAGAGTGTGCATGGAATCAGACGCGTCTTCAAAAATGGAGGTTCGATCAAACCTGCGCCATACATAGTTTCCTGTGAGTGCGGTGTTGGAAGAATTTGCTGTGTAAGGATGAATGTATTCACCACCTTCGAGCGTCCAGACATTAGAGTTCCCGCACCCCGCCAAGGCGCTAGACTTGGCGGCATGCACGGTGCTCCAGGGTCCATTCTTCCGGTCCTGTGTCCCGCGGCGCCTCCCCAGCTCTTCCTCCTCTCCAGCAGCACCTCATACAAGAAAAACAATGAACAAGTCGGGAGACTACATAAACATCGAAGCATGCAAAATAGGTGGCATGACGTTAATGTAGGCTCGAGGTTTTTCAGCTCCTTGGGTTCCTTGGGGTTTCCTTCCTGGTGTGATTTAATAGGCAGGGCGAGTCGAGTTAACGGAACCGGGAATTCGAGATGGAGGGGTCCGACGATCGGGGAGAAGGATGGCCATACTTCATATGTCTGCCATGTTAATTGTAAGGCCCTCTTTACCGAAAACCTTGATCTTCTCGACGATGCGGTGACCCAGCTCTGTCCTGTGGTCACGAAGCATTCGCATCGTGCTCGATGCGTTCGGAGTTCCCAAGATGGCGTAACAGCCGTTGTCCAAGCGAGTGTACTCGACTTCGTTATTGTTTCCAGTTCTTGAAGACTACGAGTGCTCCGAAGCTTCCTCCCTTTGTATCGTTCCTCCTGTAATCCGACGTCAAGAGAGGGCTGTTAATCCTTCGGAGAAACGCACGGCTGCGTAGCGAATCCACCCTATACAAGGGCGCAACCAAACGCCCAAGAGCCTACATTGTGATAAAATCATGCAAATTAGGTGGTCTGACGTTAACGTAGGCTCCGGGCTTGATTGTGAAAGCATATACATGCCATTGGACGACGACGCGCTGCGTACGTTCTGTACCATCATGCGCTCGTGCGGCACAGTTTCAAAACCGAAAGTTACCCCTCCTCATGAGAAACCGCCGTAGCCTCGTGGCAATTGTCGACACTCCCCCACTGCAACGCGAAGTCCGGTGTACGAGGTCACAACATGGCCAACATCTACCGGAATCTCGAAGGCGACGAAGTCCGCTTCGTCAGAATCCGACCTGGTGCCTGGACGGATCCTGTTCGATGCGATCTAGTATACCTAACGTTGCCTAGCGCTGAAAGCGACCTGGTGGAAGCATGGTTTTCGGGCAGGCCACTACCACGAATACTGACTGCACGATTTTCAGACACACGGCCCCCGGGCAGCTTTCCATTAGCTCAAGATCCAAACGGAGAATATATCACGACAGCGCCGACAGACGAAATACCGCTTTTCGTTGCATTGTCGTATGTATGGGGTGATTCGAATCAGACGGGGGAGCTGTTACTCGATGGTCAACCAGTACAAAAGACTGCCAATCTCATCGCTGGTCTGCGAGAGCTGAGGGCCTTACTCGGAAGTTCTTCTCGCACACTTGAACTCTTTCACGACGATAGCATACTCTTCTGGGTTGATGCTCTATGCATCAATCAATCGGACAATGCAGAAAAGTCGGCGCAGGTACCTCGGATGGGCGCGATCTTTGGAGCTGCAACGCTTGTTGTAGCATGGCTGGGAGCTAATGAAGAAGAAGATAGCGACATTGGAGATCTCATGAACGTGATCAACAGCATCACTCCCCCGGATGACTTAGGGGATTCTGATCGTTCCTCTCGCGCGTTTGGTGCCTTGCAAAGCGGCACACTCTTTCGCGTCCTACAAGCCTACAAATGCCTTATACAACGGCCCTGGTTCGAAAGAATGTGGGTGGTACAGGAAGCGGCGATGTCACAGCGCACTGTTATACTAGCAGGTTCCCATTGGTGTTACGGGGAATCCTTCACGGACGCCTGCTATGCTTTGATGCAAGTACTAGGACATCATCCCGAGATCAATGTAGACGAGAAGCGTCTATTACAGTCAATATTCCACTTCGAGATTGCTAGGGGAATAAGCGACACGATAGAGGCTCTTTTTGGTCTGGCACCTGTGCCTTCCACCGCTATATCACAAACAATAAAGGATGAAGTCTGCGATCAACGGTTGCACGACTGTAAAGAGAGAACGACGGGTACATCTGGAGCAAGCATCTTTGCAGGCTGGGTCAATGACGCAGGAAGTCTATGGGAGGATCCCGTGATTGCAAAAGAATTTTTAAGTGGTCGACTGCTTGCTTTTGTACTCAGGGCTGCGTTTCTGACCATGGTTTCCGAGTACAAAGCTAAAATCCCTCATGACTACCTCTATGGTATCCTTTCAATTAGTGGTACCACGAAACTTCCCCGGAAGCTTGCACCGGACTATGCGCAACGATTTGAAGACGTCTTCCATGAATATACTAAGCTGATACTATATCACACTGGAGATCTCGCTATAATCCCCAGGATGCGAAACGAACTCAAGGGTGTGCCCAGCTGGGTTCCCGACTTTCGATCCGCACGTGCGTTCCCCTTCACATCAGTGGGTGAACTTCCGCTGTCAGTCAATTTTGATGTCAGTATCTCCAAGGACGGCCGAGTTTGCCTCACCAGAGGGCTTCACCTGGGAGAAGTGATGTTCGACTTGAACTGCAGTGGATTCATTGGATCTGGAAATAGACGCGCCGTCATTGGTTGTTTCGATAATTTTCTGGAAAGATTCTGCGAACAAGAACGATTGGATAAGCGCGACGTCTTGACAAAGGTCCTCGAGGTCTTCTGCCAGAACACAGAGTTTCGCAGCATTGAAATGAGCCAGGTCCAGGATTTCTATGATGAATGCGTGTCCAGATCGCCACATATGGTTGATCAAGGCGACTTGTCTCATCAAAACATCCTGATGGAGTGGTTATCGAGAACTGTGGATTGTGTATGTTTCGCTACTTCTCAGGGACTACTATCGAGTCTTGCAAGACATGATGAACGCCCGAAGAAGGGAGACGTACTAGCAGTATTGAAAGGCGCCGATCACCCATGGCTTCTTCGCCCCACCATCGATTCTGATGCAGAGGAGTACACGTTCCTTGGAGCTTGCGAATTGTTGTACGGGAACCCTCGAGGCAGCCAGCTTATGATATGGAATCCCCGACACTTGTACAGGCACGTAGAGGCCAAAGAACGGTTCTTTGCGCATAGCGAAGTCCGAGAGTTCCGCCTAGTATAGAGCTTCAGATCGAACAGCTACATCAGCTCCATAAGACTGCGGCTCTGCTCTGGCATACAACACATACCACGCACCATTCCCTAATTCCAAATTACTCAGCTGCGAAAGCAAAGCATCGGCACTACAAGATATGTCCCGACAGATAAATTACAGAGGTCCGACACATGGTTTCAGGCGGTTCCGTACTCAAAGATCGTCGCATTTACTCTTGTCTCATACACACAACCTCTTTTCCTCGAAGAAAGAAAAGAGAAAGTGTTGTGTGCATCCAGCTCGAAATCTGCTGATGGAACAGCAGATTGAGCGAGGCAAGAGACCGTCCTACAAAAGCGCGCGCGCGTTTGGCTCCAAAAGCTCCGCGTCGACAGCGCGCGTCTCTTCACGAATTGGTGAGGGTAGCGATGATGGTGTGCGTATAGTAAGGCGTGTACGACATGAGTACACAAACTTCACACGCGCGTGGTGATGGTGGCACCGGTTGTGGTTGGGCAGAGTAGGCGGGAGAAAGCGCGGCGTGAGCAAGGGAAAGTTTTTCACGATTATGTCATCGCGCCACTAAACTTGTCTGGTGTTAGCGTCCATGTTCAACCCGCGCAATTCATCCCAACTTCTGCCAGTTCACGCGGCATGTTCAGCACCCGCCAATCATCGTTCTGCGCAAATGGCGTGCCCAGGGCCATGGATTGGCCGCCGGCTTCGCTTGCAGCTTGCAGAGGTTTGGCATGCTGGATTGACGTGACGCTAGTGTTTATGTGGCATCCCGTGGATATCCAAGCCGTGCGTGTAGAGTCAAGCGATGTGAAATCATCAACTTCATTTCTCTCTCTGTTTCTCATCTCCTGTTCTTGATCTCGCGAATTCGTGCGCGAAACGGCTTCCAACATGGCGACCATTCGTTCGGACGAGAAGGCGACGGCGTCATCTCCTGGCCATGACGCCGAAACAGCCTTGGACGCGACGTCCACCGACAAAGACTTAGCGATCAACCTCGTCGGTGAACGCGCCCAAGACATCGACCCCGAGATCGAAGCAAAAGTCCTCCGAAAGATCGATTGGTTCCTCATCCCCGCCATGATCGTGGGTACGTCAATCCTACCAACCTCGTCCATACCATCCATCTCTCATCATCATGAATACCACATGATCCCCATCTAACAGCGAAGCTCAGGCTACGGTCTAGTGTACTACGACAAAGCCATCCTCGGCTCTGCCGCCCTCTTCGGCATGACAACCGACCTTCATCTAACCCAAACCCTCTCTCCCGCTACACCGACTTCCCCAGCAGTAGTTTCCACGACACGTCTCTCATGGGCCACCTCATTATTTTACTTCGGCATGCTCGCAGGACTCTATCCCCTAACATTCGCCCTTCAGCGTTTCAACCTAGGCCGTATCCTTGGCGCAGTTGTGCTACTTTGGAGTCTCATCTGCATGTTGACAGCCGCTGTTACAGACTACAGGGGATTGTATGTCCAGAGATTCTTCCTGGGTTTCGTAGAAAGTATCATCCCAACGGGGTTCATGACAATAGTAAGCAGCTACTATACGCAGCGCGAACAGTCCGTTCGCCAGTCTTGGTGGTTTAGTAGCACGGGCCTCTTCACTATCATCGGCGGCGCGTTGAACTACGGGTTTGCACAAATCACGTCCGGCGCGCTAAGACGCTGGCAGTACATCTACCTCCTCGCTGGCTGTCTAACCTTTCTCTTCGGATGTTTCTGCTTCTTCGTCCCAAATTCATGCGCCGAAGCCTGGTTCCTGACGAAGAGCGAACGTGTCGTCGCTGTTGAGCGACTGAGGAAGGGTGCGACGGGTGTGCGGTGTCAGAAGATCAAGATGTATCAGCTGAGGGAATGCGTTACGGATGTGAAGTTCTACCTCGTGTTCCTACTCATGGGTAGCGCATACACCGTCAACGGCGCAGTTTCTGGTTTCGGCCCACTCATCGTAAACACATTCGGCTGGTCGCCTCTCGCATCCATACTCTGGCAGTTCCCGCTCGGTCTCATCTGCCTCGTTACTATCCTCCTCTGCGGATGGTTGTCTTCGCGCATACCCAACATACGAATCATTCTCCTCATCGTAAACTGCCTCCCCGTCATCGCCGGCTGTGCCATGATCTGGAAGTCTTCCTGGACGTATCACGCGCCTACGCCCGTTGCGGGATACTCAATAATCGGTACCTTTGGCGCAGTCGTTAGCCAGACAATCGTCATAGCCATGTCCAACGTCAGCGGCGCAACGAAGAAGAGCGCCATGGCCGGTACAGTCTTCGTTGCGTACTGTGTGGGAAACATCGTCGGTCCGCTGTTGATCAGGAGTCAGGAAAAGGGGCAACATTATCCTAGGTTATGGACAGGTTTGATCATCTGTTATTGTATTACAATTGCGTCGGCCGTAGCACTTTATGTGCATCTCAAGAGGGAGAATGCGAAGAGGGAGGTGATGAGCGTGGATGAGGGTGAGAGGGATAAGTTGGCGTTTATGGATTTGACAGATGGCGAGAATATGTATTTTAGATATGTATTGTAGGGCGTCATGGCTGTCCGCATCGAAACCTCGAGGCTTGTTGGTTTGGCCTTCGGGTTGTCCAGCCGCCCGAGCTGACTGTCAGCTGTTGTATGTTGTTTTAGCATTTGAACCATGAATTTTGCCAGTAGTCTCGAACCATGTGTTAGTTAGTGAGAGAGATGGATGTATGAGTGTGTGCGTAGATGCGCGGTAGCGGCTTGCGAGCTGTTTTGTCTGTATTTATGCAGAAGTATGTGTTAGCTTAGTAGTGATAGTAAGCGACGGTGAGATGATAGAGATAGGGAAGGGAAGATACGTTGCGTTGGGATGAAGGGCTCTTCACATGATGGGTCTTCACTCTTCACACTTGTTCGTGACACCGTCATCTTATCGACATCACGACAGAACAACACATATCACCACATCATCAACACTCCATCACAGCAAACACACCAGCATCAAGTCTACGCAGTAATCATTACAACTATAAACCACCAGCAAATATACCCATTCCACAGAAACAAACCACTTCAAACATCAAAGTAGTCAAAGTGGTATAAACGCCTAGTTCCAATGTTATGATTGGGAAGTTGAAGCCCCGAAGGCCCCGAAGGTGGAAAAGGAAGAAGTGAGTGTACAAAAAAGGGGTGGATGGGAATGAATCTATTATTCTCCTTGGCAAGAAGAAAAGCTATAACAGCTTTTGCTTTGCCTTACAAGACTTTTGGTGCTACATGATTGGGTTGGAGAGGGTGCTGTGCGATTCGGGTTCGACGGGGGGATGCGCATTGGTGCTGGGGTCGGGAGTCGCGGGGTCGGGGTGCTGGATACGTTTCGTGTCGACTTTAGGCATATTCGGGATGACCGCAGCCACCTGGAGTCTTTTCCGCGGGTGGACGATAGGTTGAGACACCATTAACCAGTTCCCAATACCCAAATGCTGCAGCGAGACGACCGTTTTGCGGCGAGGCGACTCCGCCTCCTCCGAATTGGGACGCATGCGACGACGCTGCTCTATCAAGGATTTCCGGGTAAGTGCGAGGGACGTAGACCGATGACTCCGGGGGAGCGAAGTCCCGTGCGCGACGACATTCTTCGAACGGATGGGCTCCGTACTGTGCTTCGAGGTGCTGGGATACGCGAGGGGGAGCTAGAACCTATGTTTTAGCCACATGCTAGACGGTACCTCCAGAGAGGTTATCCAACATCTTGGCCAACACAAGGTTCAAGCAGTGCTGGGGGGAGGGAAGGGGTATCAAGGCAATCAGGCCATTACGCCTTGGTTGCCGCCTGAGAAGGGGAAGTCAGTGGGCTGGAGTATATATATAAGGTGGGGATGTCGATTTCACTAGAGAGGAGCGGGGCGGAGGTAGGGGTTGTAGCCGAGCGACGTACCGACTTGACGCTTGATCTGTTCACGTGCCCATCGAGCAGTGTCTCGGGTTCGACCACTGAAGTCTTGGTTGGCGCGTGTCTCCCTCGCCATTGCGGTGAGGAACTCGTGACGGAAGTACTCCCGGAAGTCACCAGCTGGGAACGCATCCGCGAGGTCACTAGATAATGTTAGTGAGATGTATTGAAAAAGGGACGCCTGTACATACCCGATAACACCACACGATGATCGGAGGAGAGCCTCGGTGCGGTTGCTGTCTGCTTGGATAGTGCGGAGAAGGTCGAAGATGGAGTCAAGGTATGGGACGATAAGTTGAGCTGGAACTGTTAGTGTGTGATCAACGTCTTGGATTACAAAACTCACTCTTGTTGCTGCTCTTCATGGCAACGATACATCCGTCCCATGCATCCATGATACCCTCACGAAGGGAGGTGATGTAGTCAATCATCTCGTAGTTACCCTCGGTGGTCAATGTGACTTGTCCAGCTTGTTGAAGTACTTGGGCAACAACAGTCAGGTAAGTCTCGAATGCACCGTGGATGGCGTGGGCGATATCACCGAAGCATTGCAGGATAGCTGGCTTGAGCTGGTTGCCAAGTTGAGGGCTGCGGAGGTTGTGGAGAAGCGAGTTCATGAACGCATCGCAGAATGGCTGGACGTTCTCGCCCAAAGATCGGGTGATGTCAGAAACCAGACCAATGGCCATGGAGCAGAGCGCGGGCTCTTCCTGGTTGTTAAGAGCATTGTATAGGAATGGCGAGAAAGCCTCCATGTACTTCTGGAAGTCCTCCTCGAGAGCCGTCGCGATCGAACCAATGGCGGCAAAGACAGTGTCTGGAACACTAGACTTGGGAGGCAGAGATGAAAGCAGACTCAGCAGCGCCTGCATGATACGGTCGGCCTGGGGCCTGATGTCGCTCTCCATGCGCTGGATGATGGCCATGATGACACTGGCCAAGCTGGTCTGCATCTCTTCGAGAGTCAGCTTGTCCTCGACGTTAACGACCTGCGATTGAAGTGCCATGGACTTCTCGAGACGCTCCAGAATGACGTTGGCGAGCTCATTGACCAGAGGAACGCTGTCACCGGCGGCGTTGTTAACGAAGGAGTTGAGTACTTCGTACGCGGCTGTGCGGAGAGTGTTGTCGGCATCAGCGCGCTCGGTGACTTGCAAGAGGCTCTGCACGCTCTGGGCGAAGTGGGGCGACAATGGGTTGGTTGTGCAACCGGGCTCTCCAGCGAACCTGTCGGCCAAGTTCATCAGCGACCAACAGCACGATGCGGCCATCTTAGGGTTGCTGGCGAGACCGTTGAAGAGAGCTCCAATTAGGGGAGGCAGGTGCTGCTGTGCGTCGAGTGCGCTGGGAACAGCCTCGCAGATGCGGCCCAAGGCGTATGCGGCGGAGTCCTTGACGTGGATATTCTGGTCGTCCATCATTCCGATCAAAGTAGGCAGAGCTTGCTTGACAATTGGGTCTAGCACACTCTCCTCGGGACCCTCCATGATGGCACCGAAGGCGGAGACGGACGCATCACGGTAGTGCCAGTCTTCTGAGCGGATATACTTCTCGATGAAAGCAAGAACTGGAGGCATAACACCGCTACCGACACACTGTGCCCAGAGCTGCAAACATTGGTATGCGGCGCGGGAAGTGTTGTACTCGTTGTCGTCGGCATCCTCGTCTTGCTTTGCAAGAAGCTCGAGAAGCACTGGGACGACCTCTTGTGTGGCAACTCGGGCAAAGTTGAAGTATTCGCGGAGCTCGGTGGAGCCCTCGGCTTGAGCCTGGGAGTTGTCGTCCTCGATGGCGATTTCCTCCTCGCAGACGGTGCACCAGAACTCGACAGCCAGCTTGGCGACATCCTCTTCCTCGCTCTTCATGCCCTGGATGGTAAGACCGAATAGCGCCTTCTCCATGTAGAAGCGCATCTTGTCGTAGTACAGACCCATGATGCGGTTGAGACATCCGTACGAACCCTGCTGAATGCGGCTATCGTCCGCTTGTGTGGCTTCGCAGATGACCTGCATGATGTAGTTGCGCTCGCCCTCATTGTCGAAGTTGGAGCGGACGAACTCGATCGAGTCGCTGAGCGCGTTGATGGCGGCTACACGGACGTCGTTGTTGGCCTCCTCCTTGCGGGCACCCTGGACGACAGCCGTAAGGATGGCGTTGGAGTGCTGTGCTAGCGCGTCCCTCAACTCTACGTCGTCTGTGTCACACACGAAACCGATTGTGGTAAGCGAAGATTGCTTTTGGGCGTCGCTGCCTTGACCGACACTCTCGACGAGCGAGGTCATGAGCTCCGGCCATTGATTGCGGGGTATCTCGATAGCAGCCACGGAGGCGATGAACTGTGCGGCGGCGGAGCCTACATTCTTGTTGGGTGTGGCCAGAGTCCGCAGGGCCATGTCCTTGACCTGCTGCTTGATCTGGGTGTCGAGGTTGAGCCATCGTTCTTGGACCTGACGTAACCGGGCATACTCGCGAGCGGTGAAGGCGTTCTTCAGGGCCAGGGCGGCGGCCTGTCGGATCTGGGGCGCGGCTTGTTCATTTGCGAGTTCGCCGCCGAGGACGGTGAGGTATTGAGGCTGGTGGTAGACGTGTTAGTGGATATGTTCTGGCTATGTCTCGGGGGGCATGCAGCCTTCTGGCTGCGGGGAGACTTACAAAGTTGTTGTCGGCAGCCTGGATGAGCTGTTGCTCGGCGTTGTTACGGATGCTAGCGTCTGCAGGAGGGTCAGTCGAGCTTCTAGAAAAGTGCGGGTCTCAGCAAAGGCAGCATACCGGCGGAGTAGGTCCCCTCCAACACCTGGTTGATATCCATAACTGCTGAAGGGTGCTTCAAAGATTCAGGCGGGGTATCTGGCGGTGGGAAGAATTAAAGGGCCGCGGTGGCGGGAGAAGCAGAAGGTGGTGCGGCAGGAAGGCAGGTCGTGGTGAGGTTGCGGAGGGCGTCCGTCGTAGGGAGGGAATTTGAAGCGAAAGAAGGTCGAGCGTAGACAGGCCTAGTTCACGTGTTGTTTTCCTCCTAAAGGGTCTGCCCCACTAACAGTGCGGACTTTGGTGCAAGGAGACGGGCGTAAGGGCAGCCAGTCAAAGAGCAGCAAGCAACAGGCAAACACGGCGTTTGACAGTGAGACGGCGTCGTGAGGGCGAGGGTGAGGTGAGAAATTTATTCTTCCGCTGCTTCAGGCACCGTCGATGGGTTCGTTGGAGGAAGGAGCGGCGCCCGCCTGGCAACGGCGCATTGGCTCGCTTGCGCATCGTGCTTTCCCCCCCAGATTGAGCTCGCCCTCCCGCATGCAGCCCTGTGAGAGCCATGACACTGAACGAGGGTCCTACCGTCCTGCACAGACACTGCATAGAGTTATGACATCCAGCCTAGTCGTTGTGCACCTTGAGTTCTTCATACTGTTACATCGCGTCGCCGTGGTTCTGTCTGGAAGCCAAGCCAAGCGTCTACCTGCAGCCCGTCAATCACCTCGAGGCTATTGGACGATACACGCGCATTATGACGAATCGCATCGATGCAAAACTCTAGTCCGCGAACATCATTATCTTGGAGGTTCCCAGTCATCGGCAGCCTACATCGTGTATGGCTTTAAATAGTCGGTAGCGACGGCAGCCTACAGCTGAACCTACATCTGGACGCCTAGAGAAGATCACGGGCACGACTCTTTACTTGGGAATAGGCTCATGGACGAGTTCGTGCCAAGATTCATATGCTCACATGTCCGACTGTTCATCTTTCGAGGAGGCAGATTTGCTCTTACCAGTCCTATCTGGCGGATGCCCTTTAGTGCTACTGGAAGAGGGTTTAACTAGGCTTGAACTATGTCCCCTGACCAGTACCGTATGTCTACAATCTGCGAGGAAGAAAAATACACTGCATCGCGTCCCACACTACGACGGTAGACACAATGTCTACTTTTAGCACATGATGGATCTGACTATAGACAAGCTCCTTCACACGAGGATCAAGCCCGTACTAACCTCAATATCTCGTGGGAAAAAGGTAGCCTGCACACTCACATATTGAAGTCAGACAAGCTGGAATAGACGCAGTAGTAGTAGTACGAGGATCATTATGGTAGTCCTATATACAATGCATCCAACGCACCCACTATGTGTCAATAAACATCTTAATGCACTGCAGTCTCACCAACAGAAACGAACCCCTTCTCCTAAAGCAGTAGATCACATCCTCCCACTAGCCCTTGGATCGTTCGCCTCCTGCCTCCTCCAATCCCTCATCTCCTTCGTCCCCAGACTCCCCAAACCCCCCTCGCCCCTCCTCTCCCAACCCCCCAACCTAACAACCAAGCCCGTCGCATTATCCGCCCCCTCACTCCCCGTACTCGTCTCGGTCGCAAAAGCCACGACATCCCTCGCCGCCTGCTCCGGCGTCTTGGCCTCTTTAACAATGTCCACAATCTCCTGGTCTGACAAATGACCCGACACACCATCTGAACACAAGATAAGGAAGGAGTATTCCGCGGGCGAGAGTTCTATACGGCGGATTTCGGGTTCTGCGCTTACGCCCACCCGTTTGTGTGCCATGTCGCCGAAAGAACGGGTGTTTGCGAGACCGGACATGCGTTCTTCGCCGAAGGAGTCGGTGACGAAGGAAGCGGCGAAGCGGCGGAGGCGGGTTGCTTCTTCGGGGAGGGAGGGGTGGTGGTTCGATGTTAGGGGTACGGCGAGGCCGGTGGCTGTGTTGCAGAGAAGTATCCTAGTATCGCCGACATGAGCGGTTATGAGGGAAGATGGCGAGGAAGGATGCCAGAAGGGTGAGGGCGTGGGCGTCGAGATGAGGGCTACGCTACATGTGCTGCCGCCTTTGAAGCGATTCGTGCCGCCGATGTTTGTGCTGGTTTGGCGTGATGGCTGCCCGAGGATATCGTCGTCGTTTAGAGCTTTGTCTGCGCGGACGGGGTCTTCTTCCTTTTTGCCGACTTGGGCGGCGACGAAGTCGTAGTCGGCTTTTAGGAAGGCGTATTCGAGGACGGTCTCGATTCCGATGCCTTCTTTGACGTCTTCGGGTATTGTTGGATTGCTGGTGTGGCGCTTCTCAATGACTTCTTTCTCAGCAGGATGGCCGCGTCCGCCTGCGGACATGGAGAAGTACTCGGGCTTGAAGCGTCTGAAGTATCCGCCTACGAGCTCCTTCCATTGCTTGACTAGCTGCTGCTCGAGCTCTTCAGCTTTCCGTACGCTGTCTGACTGTCGCACTGGGGCAACGCCTTCGATTGGACCGTCCATGGATTTGGAGCCGGCGGTTGGCAGCTGGTCTTTGCTTCCAGGCTGTGGCGGCTTCATAGCTGTTGTGCCCGGTGGCGTATGCGTTTCTATAGCATTCAGGCTCTCCTTGTCCCTCTGCCTTCGGTCGCCAGAAGAAGCCTCGCCCTTGGCCTTTGGGTTGCCAGACTGGGTCTCGGTTCTTTCCCGTGCGAGGCTGCTCGTGAGCTCAAACTGCTTGGTCGCCTTCTCCAGGTAGTCGTGCAGCTGCTCCCTCAGGAAGCCGGAGCACTCAGCGCCGCCATGGCCATCGAAGACGCCAAAGTAGAAAACCTGTGGATCTCCACTCGCGCCTACGTCGGGTGTGACCTCGGTGTCCGCGCTCTGTCCCTTTCTGCTCAGAGAGATGGGGCGCCGCCGTGCAAAAGCGGGGAGGTCAATGGTGCCCGCCTGGAACGCATCTTCGTTGTATGGCCGCGACCCCCGCGACAAGGAGACGCCGAAATGGTGTTTCGCGCTCTTCAATGGTATGCGGACGACGGTCATCTCGCGCGACGTGCCCACGACGGCAGCCGGCGACCGCCCCGACTTGTCCGCATTGTACGGCGTGCTCTTGTCGCGCGGGAGCTTGTGGTGCAGCGCAGGCTGGGTGACTCGCGAGTCAGGATGCAGCGACGTCGAGGGTATGTGGGTTATGAAGTATTCGTGGAAGCAGCGTCGCTGGCGGGGGTGGTGGTAGGTCGGGGGCAGCCTGGGGGCGCGGGCGCAGATACAGGCGACTCGGTGTCCTATCGTGCCTCTTCGGGCGTGGAGGTTCGGTTTCCACATGTCGTCTCTTGCTGCGAAGGACGCATGGCGCGGTTAGGTGGGTAGTTATGTCATGGTTGGTGACCTTGGGATAACCAATTCCAAGCTCCAAACTCGCCATGTTCCGCTGTTCCTGGGGCCGCACTCCCGCCTTTGCCTTTTTCGGCACGTCATCCGTTAGCCCTGCTCCACCACTCCATCAGCGCGCCGAGGTAGTGATGAGCGCCGCGACATTCATCAATAGTCGAGAGGCATTTGTTGAGCCATACGCCCTTGTCTGGTCAGCTGACAAGAGATCGATTGCAGGTTGGGATACCACATTGAATCGACGATAGTCCAAGACGACAACACATCTGGGGCCGAGGAGGTAGGCTGGTCTTAATCATAAAGTAATAATTTGAATTACTGACAGCACATTGAGTCCTCCTGGGTCTTCTGTGAAACTTTTATAATCTTCTATACGTGTAATCGCAGTTCAATGCATTATATCATATTATCGTGCCTCGTTGGTGGTGCACCTGGGGCTGGACTCATCCTCCCCTTCACTACAATCATCCTTTGCACATCCGCCGTGGCAACGATCGTCGGACTCCACGGATCTAGATCCTCGCTGACTCTGTATACGCTGTGCTTCTTGTTGTTCTTCATCTCCTGCGCGACCATGTCTTGGCTCCTCAACGCAATGGAGTCGTCGGGCTGTAGGGACCCTTTGCGTGAGTTGGAGTAAGAAGACGCCTTTGACCGAACATCCGAAGCGATTTTGCGGAAGAGCGGGCGAAGGATGGCGATTGAGGCGGCGATTATGCCTGTGCCCGGCTCGGCGGTCGCCCATATTGTTGCTTTGACGGCATCGACTAGACAGTTGTTAGTACATGCTCGAATGGTGACATGCAGATGAAGAAGAAAGACGCACTATGTAAACCTGGTCCATTGTAGCCCAGTCCCTTCAGGTAGACCATCCTGAGGATCGAGCTCACACTGCCCACTGCACCCAACGCCATAACCATGCTAACGCTGATCTTACTCCTTCGATCGAGGTCACTATCCAGTAGGACGGAGATCGGTATCAATACGAACGTCCAGTCAGCGATTACGTTGATGATGCCGTAGAGATACCCGGAGGTGAGAACAAGAACAGATGGTAAGCAGTTGGGCGATGACGGTGATCGCAGGTTGTCGGCGAGGCGTGTTGGGTCGCCGCAATGGAAAATGATGATCAGGACGTAGTAGAGGCCGTATGTTGCGCTGATAACGAGAACGACGTGGAATAGATGTCTTTGCCATCTTTTTGTAAGGACCCTCAGGAAGAAGAGACCTAGCGAGACTTTGAGGAAGCTCGTCGTGAGGACGTAAAAGACTTCGGAAAGTTGAATAAACTACGGTTTGATTAGTATTCTGCATGATGACCAAGCTGGAGGCATACTCACAATTAAAGTTACGTGGATGTCCTCTTCGCCGAAGAGTTTTCGGTCCATGCTCCGAAAGGTGATGGCCATTACGAAAGCGCAATAGCAAGTAAACAGTAAAAGTGAGGCCACCATAGCAGCGTCGTCCCAACCTGGAGATCTCGTGATGCGATACCGCACCCATAACCGCAAACCGACTGTAACATAGCTCAAGATGATAAGTGTTATTATACCATAGAAGGTGATTCGACCCAGGAGCACCAGCTCCATAAGCTTTTCGCTTGCCATAGTTTAGAAGGAAATTAACATTGATGTAAAGATATAAGGTCCGGAATCGGAAAAGGACCAACCACGCACTGGCGGAAGATTAGCAGTCGAGAAGTAGCACGACGGTGAAGGATCCGAGCTGCAGGTAGCGGTAGTCGGGCATTATGAACGCATGGCCTTGACCACGATGACCGCGGTAGGAAACATCCCGGTAGTACGCGTTGCATGCATGTTGAGGGATCGGGTGTGTGGTATGGGTCATGAACTTTGTTATTCTGCAAGCCTTCGCCGATTGGTTACTGACGTAGGTGGTAACCCGAACGGTTTGTGAATGACCTGGATGTCGCAGCTCAAGCACCCCAGATGTTTAGTGTTTAGTAATGTAACCCATGCGGATCAGATCCCGCCACATTGTTCTCGGCAGTCCGAAGATTGTTTGATGCGTGGGAGCCCCTGTTGTCATGGTCATGGTATCTCGAGAGGCTCGTCGATCTTGAAACACTGCTTCCACATCCCGCGGGTGGGCATGAGCACCGAGGTCATGTACGCTGGCTGGGGAAGCTGGCCTCATCGATGACGCTATGAAAGAAAGCCTCGTCGGATTGCGAAGTCGTACGGTATCAGAGTATGGATATGCCTGTGAATACTCGGCCTTGCCGATGGAAGGGCTGCACTACTGAATATGCCAGGAGGTAGTACGGTCCGTAAAGGTCTGGAGTTGACCCATCAGAAACACAAGTTTCGATACAAAGAGCCTCGACGACTCGTTCTCCACATGACAATAAGGAAACGCGCTCGATGTTATAGAAATCTGGAATTATGGTATGATTGACAGCGGAGTGTAGTTTTGACGGTGTATCAATCTGCTCTCCCAGATGCGATAGGTTCGTGTTCTCGAAAGCTTTCATGTTTGACTAAACAGTCCGTGTTTGACGAGGGCGCGTGAGGCGTGTTTCGCGTGGGCCTGGTGCAGAAGGGAACATCCCCAAACGACTCACGTGCAGATGCGGCACGCATGTTTGATCGTCCCAACATTAGGATAGAACCGAACCCGTGGATACCTGAGGCGAACGTCACTCGGTGTTCGTCAGGCCCACAATTGTGGCCACAGGTGTCAAGGCGGGAAGGCCCGTGTGGTTGAAGATGGTCCGGGATCTCGGCGGCACTGATACTCCGACCCTAGCGCCTCGGCAAAAGTTTTCTTCTTTGTCTTCGAGCTGCAGCGCCTCAACTTTTACTTCATATGCGCGGCCAGCATCCAGGGGACAACTTTGAACACTATGATCTTGGATTTCCATGGTTATAATGTGCAAAGTTGTCAAAGGGATGTTCAACACGCATGTGCCTTTAATCTAGGCTCTCAGCGCGCCGCAGCGCGCGACATGGCTCTACAGGCTCTACTTCGCACATGCTCACTTCTAGTGCAGCGCGAGACTAACCCAGCAATTGGTAAGTTCCATCATTCCTACACCCTCCCCTTTCATGATGAAAAAAAGACAAAATTCACAGACCTGTTCGTAAAAATTGTGTCGAAAACTTTGCTTTATATAATCTGATCACCTTCTTTGGCTACCTGCTTCTCTACGTCCATATTAGAGAGCTCATTGGCTAACAAAGAGCAGTTACCGGTTCATGCGATCCACTTTTCCACATTACCAGGCGGTCCGAAGTCTTGTTCAACACCACATCTGCTTGAAGTAAGCCATCGCCACGACGATGAGTGGGGTTGTTCTTCAATTGATAGAGCAACTCGAACAATGCTGGCAATTCACCGCCTGGCCACCCTTTCAAGACCGCTTTGTAGCTCAGCACAATGATGCATACCATAGTATACTCACACTCGACATTCCTTTGTCCAATTCAAATCTGTAACCTCACAAGACTCGATGAAAGAATCTCGTGAGCTCTCATATATATACGATGTGAGCCGTGTTATCTGTGCGTCCCGTACGCCGTGAACCTATCAGATCGCTCAAGCTATGTATCCATCTACCGTTTCACGCATCTCGCCAATCTCTCCGAGGTCACACAAGGATCAACCCACGAACGCATACACCCAATACGACTTACAGTCAGGACTTCCAACGCTTCACGCTCGTCAGCCCGATTCGATAACAGATACTCATCTACGAACAGGTCATGCTCATACTATATCAGGAATCGGTTCCGGCGCTGTGCTTGGTCTACCCAGTACAATCGATCCTTGCCTTCTCGGCGAGTTTGACTTGGCGCAGTTCAATCTCAACGAAGACTGCAACGATGATATGTTCGGTCTAGACTTCGACTGGATACCTAATAATGGCCTTGATGTGCCCATGGATGAGGTGCCTTTGAACGGGGTCGACGCAGGTGCATTCCAACTCGGTGACCCCTCTCAAGAAAACCACACTGGTCAAGGATTTGTATCTGCGCCTGTGCAAGATAAGACCATTGATCAGTTACACCAGTTGGTCAACCAGAATGAGGTTGGACAAGTGTCGACCGATTTGGTTCCCGTAGAGCAGCATGGCTACCAGCCTACTGACCCTACCTATGACTTCTCGCAGGATCTTGGTCTCTGGGATACTAACTTCCAGGTCCCATCTCAGTTCTTAGACACCACTCCCGGCTTCTCCGCGTTTCCGGGTGGCAACGCGTTCATGCAGGACATGTCGCAGTATCCTGTTGCTGCCCAGCCTTCACAGACGTATCCTGACCCATTCACTTCGATATACCCTGTTCAGCCGTACTACCAACCAACACAACAGCCGTATCCGCAACAGCACACTGGATACGTGGCGATGCCTACCGAACAGTATAATGGATCACACCAATTCAACAAGACCTTCCCCTCAAGCTCTCGCCAATCCAGTCGGCCCGCACCACAATTACCCAAACGTAAACGTACGCAGTCTGGCTTCGGATCTGATGATGACGCTTATGTCGCCAAGCAACCTCCCAGGCAGCTTACACATCGAACCCGATCATCAGTAGATACCCGTCACGATTCTAACGTTTCCTGCGCGAGCTCAGTCAGCAAACCGGTCAAAGTAGCTGTCGTGCGAGCTGGGGAAAAGCCAAAGAAGTGTGACGACAAGCCCTGGGTTCGCGTTAACAACACAACTAGGGGCGAGACTACGCGTACCGCTCGTATCAATCAACACGCAGAAGAAGGCCGCAAGTACAAGACCAAGCCTCTTCCTCACGGCAACTGGTCATCATCATCCGGTTTCAAGTTTGAGTACAGTCAAAACAACGGCATGCACGAGTTCAAGAAGCGTACCATGACTGCCCGCGAGATTCATGAGTACATTACCCAGTATCCCGGCGATAATCTGCGCATCTGGATCCAGCCTGTAGCTTCAGACTCCGCCCGCCGCTATGCTTCTGCATCCCACAGCCACTGTCGCTTTGACGCTTGCCCAATGCGTGTGTACACCGGCAAAGGCACAGCTGAAGTCGGCAACTACCGCGTCGCATTCGATGAAAAGCACCGAACCTATGGTACTGGTGTTGTTGATCCATATGACTGCGTGGGCTTTGCTCATCTATACTGTATGGAGCGCTTCCTAGACTTTGCCTACATCTGCCAGGTAGCTAACGTCAAGGTTGATCAGCGTGTAGGCATGGAGAAAGAGCCAAAAGGTCACTTCGCATCCGCGTTCGGCTCGAAACATCATTACGAAGCGGCGTTAGCTAGCAAGTTCATTGAAGCTGCTAGCAAAGGCCGATTAGGTGATACTCACGAGTTCTCTGACTACCCCGTCCATGAACACTACAAGGGCGGTCATCCTAAGCCTCACGAACGTACGCTCATCTACGCGCTCTACGGCATGAACATGAAGCACCGCGCAAAGTCACAGATGAAACAGTTCATCCTTCAACGCAAGATCCGCCCCGGTTCTTTCCCCGTTCACCGCGGTGACATGGAAGTCAAGCTCGTCGACAAGAAGATCGAGAAAATGGATGTCTATATAGACTATAAGCGAGAAGGATCAAAGAAGGAGTTCGACTACTCAGCCTATTACGATATCCTTCATCCGGAGATCAACCAGCGCATCGCTGAAATGGAGAAGAAGCGAGATGAATTCATCAAAGAAGACGAAGCGGGTATCGGTGGTAAGCGCAAAACACCACGTCGGACCATCACTTTCGCAGATTCAGATGATGAAAGACAGACGCCTTCGCGGAAGCGTTCGCGGTCTAAGAAGCAGGAAGCTAACGATAGCGACTCATCTGATGACGAGCGTCCAGCACTCAAACGCACGTCTACGGCACAGTCCACAGGACGTATAACCGCCCTCTCCGACTCCGAGGACTCAGACTCCTTCGAAAAGATTATCAACGGTACCAAACCCCGTCAAGGTTCCCGCGCCGGTCTCCGCAAAAAACAGCGCATCAACTACTCCGAGCCCGCCGACCTCCCTGTCCAATCCGCCGCTCCTCCCCCGTCTAGCGATTTCATGGCCAACTACGCTCCCGCTGTCCCCTTCGACGACCGCAAACAGAGCCTCAGCGCTTTCTTTCCAGCCAACAACGATCCGTCTTGGTCTAATCTAGATCTCGATGAGTTTTCGATCGAGGGCATGGATGATGTGTGTATGGATGAGGAGGCTGTTGATGCGCTTATTGGTAATAATGCGAAGTATCGGAGGCAGAGTTCGACGTTTGAAAGTGGGCCGTGGGCGTCTGGGAGGACTGCGAGTTTTAATGCACAACCTGTGTCTGGGAGTAGGGAGTTTAGGAGGAAGGATCCGCCGAGTTGTGTTGCGGATGTGGAGGAGGGTGAGCAGCAGGTGACGAGGAGGAGTAAGAGGTTGGCTGGTAAGGGTACGCCGGCTTCATCTGTTACTGGATAGATCCGTTACCTGAGTACCCTTGGGTCAGTATGGAGTGATACTGTCTAGAACCTGACCTAAGATTGGTAGTAGCTATTAAAGTAAAGTCTTTGCCTGCGGCTTGTATTACAGAGTAGTAAGTCGCGTGTAGCCTCGTGGCGGCTGCGACAGCCTTGTTCATACGAGACTGATGTGACGATTGGTATCTTGGCTTGCGCCAAGAGACCCTGCCGCTCTCATGTAATCATTGCTGCGTCATCAATTTCTAGCGACGGTTACAACTGTGGCTCGATTCCGGCAGGCAGTTCAGGCAAATGAATGCTAATAAATGACGCTTGTAGACGAAGATGACTAACTTACTAACAACATTACTTGCATATGTGGTGAAACACACTCAGTGCATCCTCGACTTTCTACAGAGCAAGAAGCGACAAAAGCATCAGCTTTGAAGAAGCGGGGAAGTGCTGCAGATTTGGACTCAATATTCGTGGATGAAACAGCACTTCCTGGTCAATATGGCGTCGAAGCACGGAAAGAGCGACCTATTATAACTTCAGTTAGCTAATCGACGATACAATTCAAGCCACACCAGCTGGGACTAACCCGAAGCGATTGTTTTCGTCTCTCCTGCCTCCATCTTGTCAAGTACGCAGAAATCAGAAACCCAATCAGCAAATGACACATACCCACACCCCGTCAGCTACGACGTTCCTTATCATTCAGCTCACCTATATAGTCTGCCAAAGCCCGTTGTAGGCACGGTCGTCTTCGAGAAAGCAATTGTCTTTCCCGCGAAATCGTAGAATCTATCACCTCGATCCTCTATTCATCCAATCGGTCAAGATGACAAGCAGGCAAGGAGACTACGTCAAAAGATACAAAGACAATAACAATGACAACACCGAGTAAGTGCTTCTTGCTACAGTCACGCCGTCGTCAGTTTGATCTGTGGTCGCTAACAACCCTTATAGCAAGTGGCTTGGCCGTGTGGAAGCCAAGTATGATATGAAAGAAGCTGGGAAGGCGACTGATCAAGGTCATCAAACCGCGCAGGATAATCTGGCTTCCGCTGTGAGGCGAGAGATGGGTTGGTCGAAGGAGGAGAGGAAACAGGGTTATCAGAATCCAGAATGAACGAAAGTCGACAATGCTGAGGGGTATCACCCATTGAAACAGTCAGCTTTACGGCAGCAGATAAGGCACTCGTGGTCGTACAATTTCTCGCCGATACAAATGAACAATTCGTATATGGGCTTTTCGATGATGTGATGTTTCATTGGAGGGTTAAAACTATGATGAATAATGTAAACCACTGCGAAGGCCAGACCAGAGACGCGGTCATTGAGGGTATAATTGCTGTACGGCCTTGCGGCTGGCACTCAGCATGCGCGCATGAAGCCACGACTGCCCAAGCGAGTGCCTCGTGTGATGTCATCAGTGATGTTGTATTGAATTACTGCCTTGACTCATGTCATGTGGATCAACGTTAGGCTAGACGTTGTGTAACATCAACAAGGCACGCATTTCGAACTACGGAAGATAGTTTCCTGTTGCTCGAGGCCTCGTATGTAGTCATGATGGCCACCTTGGTGATAGGCATTTCACTACAACGACTAGTTGTAGAAGCGGCGCTGTGGCTCGTACTATTTGTGTACATAATTCGTTAGTACTTATCCAACTATCAAGTCAAAAAATCCGAACAGGCGATTTGTGTGGCACATCGGAATTACGGCACGTTAAGTCTTTGATCGTGGAAGTCTTGACCTTGCTGTGCCACCTGGGCATTAAGAGGAGCTCGTATGAACAAGTCACCCTACCCCACGTCAGCCGAGCATTGGCGCAACTGCCATTACAGCGACAACACTGCGAACCCAACGACTACTTGCGACGCTCTCCCCAAGCACAAAATGGGCGCGAGATCGGATTACACTCAGGGCATCGAAAAATCAGATTCGACTGATGCCAACACCAACGCCAACGTCAACAGAAACCACGTCGACCCAGACGAGACACCACCAATCTACTACGACGCCGAACCATCAGCGCAGCCACCAAGATACCCTGATAAGCAGTCCACTTCTTCTACAGAACCGCAAAAAGGGCCTTTGTCACGACCTACACCCTCAAATGCGCACCGCAGCAGCGGCGCACCCGCAAGTACCATCGCAGCAGTCCTTGGGTCTGAATACACCGATCTAGATGCTCAGCGACGAGCAGACCGTAAGAAGAAAACCCTTCGCGAGCGCTGGAATGATTTCAAAGAGAGGAATTTTGGCGACTATGATCTTACTGAGGACAGGGCTGGAGCGGCGAGTGCGGCTGAGTGGAATGTGCAGGGTGGGAGGCTGAAGGGAGGAATGACGAGTCCGTATCGGAAGAAGGGAAAGTAGATTGGTGGTGGTGGGGGTGTGGTGATGTAGTGATTGTGTTCTTGTGATAATTGAGTTATGGTAGCGGATATGGGAAGAAGATAAGAGGAGAGATGGATATATACAACACTTAGAGCGTGATACTCGTTATTTTCCTTGCCCGTGTCCCTAACACTTCTTCCCTTATCTCTATGCGTCATCTATCTTTCCTTACAATTCCTTCTTCAAGAAGTGCTCAGGCCTGTGATCTGTCTCATAATCCACATGCACATACGCCCTCTCCACATCAGGCAGACTCTCCAACTTGATTTGAAGTTCCTCGGCTACATCATGTGTGGCGCGTAGAGTAGCTTCGGGGTCCATGACGATGTCGACTTCGACGATGAGACGCGGGCCGCTGTGGTAGGCGCGTACGGTGTCGATTTGGAGGATGGTTGGGGAGTGTGTCATCGCTGAGTATATGTTAGTGACCGATTCGGCACACTGGATGGAGGAAGAGGGTGTGGAAGAAGTAGATCAAGGGATAGAAGGAAGGAAGAAGACATCCACCTCCTCAACGCCGCTTTTCCTTTGCCTCTACCAACCAACTGGGAAGACTTACAGATATACGTGATATGCTGCAACATGGCAGTATCAGCCGTAACTCCAATGAGAAGCTGGAACTCTGAGTACGCCGTCCTGGACCAAAGGAAGATAATCAATACGGAAAGTATCATCGCGCCCATGGGATCCAACCACCACTTCAACTTCGATCCACCGACACTGGTCAAGACACCGAATCCGTTGATGAAGAGATCGTTCCTGTGGTCCTCCCACAGAATGCGGACTTGAGAGTATTTGTTCCTCAACGCCCAACAGTACAGGAATAGCGAAAACTTGGTCGCGAACGCTATGCTGACAGCGATAACCGACGGGAGGAAGAAGTCGTTCGTCTCAGGACCGTTGTGTTCGGCGACTGTGCGGATAGATTCCACGATGATGACCACCGACACGGTAATCATCAGCGCGCAGAAAGAGAGATTTCCCGCCGTTTCGATCCTCGCCTTCCCAGAGGGAAACTTCCTCGCATCAACCCTCGCAACAGCGCGATTACACATTATCAACGTGAGGTTGGATAAGGGGTCAAAGAGCGAATCCGCCATAGTCGTAAACAAGCTCAAACTCCTCGAACTAACCGCCGCATAAAGCTGCAACACCGCCAAAATGATATTCGCAGCAAAACTCCCAATAACCGCAATCTTATACTTGAGATGATTTGCCGTATCCTCATCCTTGGCCGCAGCCCTATGCTCCGCCACGGGCTTGAGTAACCTCTCTATATTTTCATTTTGGGCCGAGTAAAACTCCTCGAGCTTTTTCGCTGATGTCGCGGCCTTGTTGAGGGTGATGGGCCCGCAGCCGTCGCGTTTGCGACTCGTGTTGGCGCGGATGAGGGCGAGTTCGCTCTCGGGTTTTATGGCGGAGGAGAGGGAGTAGGGGTCGTTGTCGGGGGTGTAGGAGGGGGGTGATTGCGATTCTAGGTCTGAGCCTTCGGGGTAGTGGCGGACGTGGCGGGCTATGGGGTCGTGGGAGGGTGTTGGGGCATTGGTTTCGACTGCCGTGCTGCTGGCATCATTCTTGCGCGGGGTTGATGCGTCGGCATGGCTGTGGGCGTGTTGCGCGCTGGGGCTGTTGTTGCTGCTGCTGGCGCTGAGGTGCGCGTGGTGGGGACTTGATGTGCGTTCTATGCGGTCCGGGTGGGTGTGGAACGGGTGCGGTTTCATAGATATGGCGCGGTGCAGATCGGGTTCTGACATTGTCGCGGTGGTTCTATCGATTTCGCACGCTGATGTGGGAGGATGCAGATGGACACTGAAGCAATTGCGCGCTCCTTTCACGGATGCCAATGATGGCGGCGGTGAAATAGGTCCGGTGAAGCAAGCCAGCCAAGCGCCATAGTCGCGATCGACCGCTTGTGGCCAAGCTTCCAGCGTACACGTGGGGGAGATGCGCGGCGTGGTGATAGGTGAACTTTGTTTAATCGTCCCGACTCCTTTGTTTGCGAACTTGCCTCTCAATGCCTTGCGGTATCTCGACAGACCATCCCGAGATCCCCTCACAAACCCAACTCCCAGGGCCCATCTATCATCTGTCACCATGCACCCGTACCACGGTACAAAGTACGACTGCCTACCAAGCATGCATCCACAACCTAGCGCGCGGAGTCTATCGCGCCCAGCCCGCACACGCAGCAGCGTTCCAAGACAACATCTCAAGGTGTCTTATCGATAAGACCCGCGCCCATTCCGTCATCGGCGCCCCGCTCACCACCTCGGCTGGCCTGCCACGTTGAACACAACCACGTGCGTCACGTTTCTTACTTGTACACTCAACATCTATGGATGGATCGTGAACCCTGCATATACCTCACCAGCTCACACAGCATATCACCACGACTTGCGCATACTCACCGATGAGCATACAGGTCGGTTAAGCATTTGGTGTTGCTGCCAAGATGGTCAAGAACTGTGTATGCTATGGGCTTGATGGTGAGGTGAAGATTGTGGTGTGTTGCGGTTGTGATGGACTTGGTGAGTCGCGTGATGGAGATTATTGACATATCCTCATGTTCGAGTTTCCATCTCAATCGACCAGCCGTAGCATTGCAGTGAAAGTAGTTGTTCCAAATCACTACTTCGCCCATCACGCACCCTCTTAGCCTAAACACGCCCTCCCACCCCAAAAAGGTGGAGTAAGTCACCTCACCTCGTACAAACCCCCTATATCTCCTCTATTAAGACTCTCACAAATCACCTCAACAACGCTCTCACGCATTCCTTCTCTGCATTCGGCAAACAGCGACGTACGTGTTCAAGTCTATATCTAACTACATCCAACGTGCGTGCATGCGATCAACCTCGCATCTCCACTAGCTATTTAGCCACCACCAGAATCCGGGGTATCATAATGCTCACCCCCTGGTCTATAACAACGAGTGGGAAAACGGGAATGGGAATGTCTAACCACGTATGCGGTACTTGGTGATGGAACGGTGAAGGGGTAAAGAGATGAGTAAGAGAGGTGAGGGGGAGGAGGGATGTATGCGGAAGGGAAGAAAAGATATGGACATGTGAAAATGAGGAAAGAGATAGACACATGCAGCGCTGCCCTCAACACTCTAGCCCAAAGATGGCAGCCAGCCTCACTCTGCTCCAACCCGGTCATATAAAGATCAACGAGATCAACAAACGCAAAGCCGCGGCTTCGGCAGAGCAATTCCAGAAGCCTTTCCCATACACCTACTGCCGATCTCTTTCTAACCCGCCATCCGCGTTAATCATCCTTTCTCCCGGATTCCCGAGACGCGCGCGGAAGCACGGATATACCATGCAAATATACATGAGACGAAGTACAAGGGTGTCTCAGCATCCATGTCGCGTATACTCCGCGTCTACGGGTGCCGGTGCCGGCTGTTGTATATTGCTGGTGCAGCTTGTGCTACGGCTGTAGACAACGTGCAGTCTCCGTATGCGGAAGTCGAGGGGCATCGAGCGAAGATATTCGGGTGGGTATGCGATCGACTAGGCCGCTCTCGCCCGATGTCGCTGGATGGAGTCGTCCTAGGCATTTGCATATCGGATCTGCGTTCCAGTGATGCGCCGAGCCCCCAATGCTGTGCATACTGTGTCTTTTGCGGTAAAGGAGCGTCACGTCAACGCTCCTCAACGTTGCGATTAGTTTCCATGCATCCAACATGCGCCCTGCGCCCCAGAATCCTGCGCCGCGCCACCAAACTCATATTCGTTTCCCAGTCCAAATGGCGTCTCTAGCATGTCCGGTAAGTTTGTATCCCACATCATGTCGTCCCAGAAGTTGTTCAGGATAGTGGGATCGTTGCTGGCGTTGGCCCAGGTAGGTGTTGCGGGGTTGTAGTGGTGACCGAAGGAAGAGGGATGTTGTTGTTGGGTTTGCGGCATCGATGGGTGCTGAGGCGTGTAAGCGGCGGCATGGGTGTTGAGCATGGGAGGTGCGGTCGAAGTACCGGGGATGGCAAAGTGGGTGTGCGTTTGGCTGTGGGGATGAGGTTGTTGTGGGTGGTATTGCTGAGGGTGGGGGATGTGTGGCATAGTTGGCTGGGTTTGGTGTGATAGTGTAGAGACGTTCGTTTTGTACGCTGCGTAGAGGCGAGTGACTGCATCTCCACTTCTTTTCGCTGCGATACTCCAGTCTTTGACTGTTTCGAAGAATGTGAGTGCTGTTTCAATACTGGTCTTCCAATTTTCGACTTCTTCTGGTATGCTGGTGTCGCTGAAGAGGGAGACGAGTGGGACCATGCACGCTTGAAAACAGAACCATACTGCATTCCAGCCTGAGATGAGGTCGGGCATGCATTCTTGACTGATCTCTTCGATGGTCTTGGAGGCAATGAGTCTGCATTTGCCTACTGCGACCTTTTCGTCCGCGCTCAGGGCGACCCATGGGGAACGTCTGAGTGCAGCAGTGAGCAAGATGGGGCGGTGGAGGATGATGCGGATGTTCTGAAACCGCCACTTCATGACCAAGCGCGTTCGTCGGAGAAATTCTGGACACGGCTCATCGGGGTTGGAAAGGATTGATGGTAGCTCTTCGTGCCACTTTACAACCTGCGCGTCGTAGCTGGCTGTCTCTGCAGAGGAAAGGAGTGGCGACTCGACAAGTCGGTCCTGTATCCTCGTAGCGATCTGGCAGAATGCTGAGGCGTGAACTAGAGGAAGGATCTTGAGCTGCTCGATGTACTGGGGGCTATTGGGTGGTGGAATACACTGAGGCTATGGTGACGTCAGTATTGCGCTTTGAAACATGCATCAGTAAGTCTTACAGCGTTCACAGCCGTACCCGGTCTCAAAACTGTGATTGACGGCCCCATTCTTCCCAGCGAAGGCCGTCCTGTTGTAGTTGAAGCCCACGAATCCAGACAGAACAGACTCCACCAGATGCGCCGGCGCATCTCAGGAGATATCGAGTCTTCCTCGCCCGGGGCCATGAACTGTCTACTCGCGTCG